CAGAGTTAATGATACTTGACCAAACTTTTTCATATCCTTTCCAGATTCTTATGAACTTCAGTGTTACCATGGTTTCTGCTGTAGGTTTGTAAGATATTCACATGCTGCTTTTTAAAAATCATTTCAGTGATTGGAGTTTAAAAGAACTTTCTGCTATAAATAAGGTCTTCAAAGGAGCCTTTTGTCTTTGAGTTCTGAAGAGGTTAGGGAAAAACTTAAGTAATTTCTCTACAGGGCACATTTGGAGAAAACCTTGAACCATCTGTTTGTTCTCTGCCCTTTTTCCTAATGTAAAAGCCTTTACTGAGGTCAGAAATAATTTCTTCTGACTGTTCAAACAATCCAAGGAAAGGGACACTTTTTTTTTTTACTGCCTCACAGTGTCTTTCTGAATTCTGAAAAACCTGTATAATGTCACAAAATTATTAGTCTGGTGGTCCAGAGTGACATGAGTATGGGAGTATGGGGAAAGGAGGGTGGAGTAGCCATGCTGTTCTGAAACTAAATACCAATACCTCTGTAATTCTCTTGAGAAGACATCCTTCAGTGTTGCCACATTCCCTCAGTAAGGAATGATCATAGAGAATTTTCAGGTAGATTTATCTCCTTTAGGAAGACTGCTCCCTAGACTCCATCGGACATGTTGACAAGATCTTGCTTACAGAGTGGGGTGGTGTATATGTCCACAGCCTAAATAAATGACTATGTGGTTTAACTTGAGAGAGCACGCTTCCAGTACCTTGTTTCCTATCTCTCTATTGAATCTGAAGTCTTTGAAAAATTTAGGTTGATTCAATCTGTCTGCAGTTTTTTCCCTGTTGAGTTTCTCTATCCTACCATCCCCCATTTCCCCTGCTGGCACTATATCAATTATACTAGTATTCTTGGAGACTCTGTTTAAAGGGTCAGAGGTGAATTAGTGCCAACTTCATGGTGTTTCTCTCATTTGGAAAATTATCGTTCCTTTTTCTTCTTTAGGGTTTAGCAAAGGATTAAAAACAAGTCTGCCAGTAAGTTGGTTTTGAAAATACTGTTACACAATGAAGGCATCCAGCATGAGCATAAAACACCAGTAATTTGCATTGGCCTTGTGTGTTATAGTTTGTTTCAAAGGATTCTCAGTGAGTTGTATTATTCAGTTGTTGTAATAAAGGAACTTCTTAATAGCCTTACTCCAAATACAGTATTTTAATAAATTCAGCTGTCTTTTTTCATTTATTATTTATACTTGGAGACCAATTAAATTGCAGTTATTTATGATTTTTTCCAGAAATTATTTGAATTATCCTTTTAGAGATGCAGTAGCATTGGGCTTCCCCAACTTAGTTTAGACATCTCAGTCACAGATTGCATTGTTTCCATGTCTTCCATATTGTTGGTGTTGAGGGTATTCTGTTATGTCAGAATGTAGTAGAAAGGAATTTTCTGTGTGGAAGTAAGTTAGGCAAGTCTTTCCATATTTCACTGTTGCTTTTTAAAAATACACTTTTTAATATTCCATTATTGTCCCAAAGCAGTCAGAAATCTTATACCGGGAAATGAGGAAGGGCTCTGAATAACGTGATCTAGTGGAAGGTGTCCCTGTCCATGGCAGGGGGATTGGAACTAGATAATCTTTCAGGTCCCTTCCAACCCAAATCATCCTATGATTTTATGATTCTATGAATTATTGCAACTGTTATTTAATTTTCTTTGGGAATGGCTTCAGAGCATCTTTATAATTATTTTAAGTGAAAATTCCATGCTTCTCTATAAATATTAAAAAAGAAAATGCAGACTTAGAGGTAGAAAAAAGATAAAAATAATAAGAAGTAGTCCTTGAATATTTCAAATCACTACATACACCATTCATATTTCATCTGAAGTAAAAAAGGTACAAAAATTTGAGAATTCTAACTTATCATTTCTTTGCTCTATGTAAGAAGCTGTCAGGAGTTCTATTTAAACCAATGTTAAAAGGGGTCAGGTTTCAAAATACCACAAGTGTTGAAGCTGTTGATACAGCTAGAATTTTGGTTTTATTGTTCTTTGTGCATGAGGATAGTGCAGATACAACAGATTCTTTGAAAAAACCAGAATTGATAAAAACATTCCTAGTAATCCAAAGAAACTGATAAATACTTCAGGGTTTTCAATTGCTTGTTAAATATTGAATATAGAATGAAGCATCATTTGAGTCTTCAAGAAAATGCTGGAGAAAAAAATTGTACCATTAATGAAAGATCAAACATAAGAGAGAGTCAATTTACAGAGGACTGAAATGACAAAGATGAAAAAGTAAAGTGAGGTATCACTCTATAGAATACATCTTCCTTCCAGTTAGAGAGGTAGAAGCTCTGTTTGGATATTTTTTACCCAACAGAAGGCACAGATGGTATTGGATTTTCACAGCTGTCTTCCATTAAGAGTTACTGGTAGTGTAGATGAATGTAGCTAATGTCTAGATAGTGAGAAATCTTTATTCTTACTCATTTCTTTGTCCTTACTATTGCTAACAACAAAACTATAACGGAGTCACAGAAAATGTTCATTGAATGGTGCATCTGGGAGCCATCTAGTTTCAAACTCTCTGCTCAAGCAGGGTCAGCTTACATCAGGTTCCTTCGGTACTTGTCCATTTGAGTTTAAATTGTTCCAAGCACTGTAATTCTGAAGATCCAAATCCCAGATGTTAAGATGAGCATAATATTTGCCTTTTTCTAGTCATCAGAACTTTTCTCGGTTGCCATGGTATTTTGAATATGATTGACAGGAACCTTGGAGTGACTCCAGTAGGCTCCCTCTGTACCTTTGCTCACATCCCAACGAGCACCATGGAGCTGTGTGTGTCCAGTGGTCTTAAATGCTGTCTAGCTGCCTTCCTCTGCTGCAGATAATTCTTTGCTCCCACAGACTCTCTAAGTAGACTCTTGGACTGAGAGGCCTGAGAGCCAAATTTGCAAACAAAACCCAAGACACAGAAAAAGGCATTGAGTATCTTTGCCCTTCCCGTGTTCTTTGTCACTAAGTTCCCCACCTCACTGAGCAGCAGACATCCACTTTCCTTACTTAGTCTTCCTTTTACTGCCAATGTACTTATGGAAGCTTTTCCCCTTGTCCTTAACATTGTTTGATGGTTTCTACTCCAGCTGAGCTTTTGCTTTTGTAATTTCATTGCTCTACACTTGAGCAATGTCTCTGTTCCCCCAAGTGACTTGTCCCTGCTTCCAGCTTCTGGGAGATTGGGCTTAATTGTATTTTCAGTTGTCACTTGCTACACACCATTTCCCTAGTCAGACTACTAATTTATGTAGTCTGTGTTTGACTTTAGCATGTAGTCATAAATCTTGTTGCACTTATATAGGAGCAATAATTGAATATTGTGTAGAACAACTGAAAAAGAGCATATGTGTATTATGACACTGCCATCATTTTATCTGAAATGTAAAATGCTTTGTGGAATCAGATTGATGCTGTAAATAATAACCAGAGTTCAGTTTTGTCTATGGAGTCACCAAAATCTTAAGAGAAAGCAATAATTCAAATAATTAAATTGTGTGTATAGTTTAAATGCTGTCACTGGTGGTTTGTATATCAGTATGAATATCCACATGAGATGATATGCAATATATGTCCAGGAGGTAAAACCCCCCTGTTCTCAAATATCAATTAAAAAAAAAAAATTCCCTTTCAAATCTCTTTAATATATCAGTTCCTAAAGAAATTAAGGCTTTAACTTTTAAAAGAAATATTTTTGGCACCAATTTGTAAAGTTAGCTCTTCAGCTGTAGCCCAAAGCACTGTTATCTTCCTGATCTCCTGGACACATTTGTAGCAATTCTACCGTTCCTCAAAAAAAAGAAAAAATAAATAACAATAAGATAAAGAAAGTGTTTGTGTTTGGTGTGAGGAAAGGAAAGAGAAAATGACTACTTCTTTAGCTTTTTATAACTGATGTATATCATGTAATAGAAATATCATGTTACCTTGTAAGTATATTCTTAATGCTGTAGCATAGTGCTGGGTATCAAAGAGGAAATTCTGACCTTAATCTATTTTTCCAGAGAGTCAAAGTCTGTAAGTTTTTTTCTGTAATAAGATTTGTTTAGTTTTTTTGCTCAGTTTTTGGTGGCAGGTTGCTTCTTGGAATCCCTTCAGCTTCTTCCCTTTGCTCTTTTGAGTGAACATCTACTGTTTGTTTTCAATGGGTTTGGGAAAATATAATTAAGGTGTGACCTGCACGTCTTTGTCTGCCTCCAGATTTGGTAGATAAGGAGGAAGGAGCTGCCGTATTCTCATTCTAGCTAACTCAGATTTCAGTCCACTGTATGCATTGAAAATGATATGCACAGGTACTACTGGTGCTACTTAGTGGCTCTGAATGCATTGTGTGTTAGTCTTGTGAAAATCCCTGCAGTCTCAGCAAACTGTTTGCCAGAGTTCTGAAACACAGGAAGAAGCTAGTGAGTGCTGGGAGCACGAGAGGCCTTGAGAATGAAACTACCTGGAGACAAAACTGGCTGGTCTAGCAGCTCACAGATGCCTAGAAGTGAGTCTTTTTCCTCAGGATGAGTTTTACCCACTGCGAGCTCCTTTTTGTTGGTTAAAGAAAATAAGTCAGAAAAAAAGAAAGAAAGCCTTCATATTGGGCAAGTGAATTGAACTGGATTGTGAATGCTAGGACTGGCACAGGAGGGGAAAGATAACCAGGTGTCTTGAAGCAGTGGAAAATGAAAAGGGAGGAAACTGTCCTCAGATTGTGGTTTTGTGCTTCAGCTATCCCATTTTTTTCAGCAGAATTCCTTGTATAAATGCATTTAAATATTTCATTAGTTTATACCTTATAACACCATCTACCACTTCTATAGGCTCGCTTATCTTAGTGACAAAAAGTTATTGTAGTTACAAATACTAAAATTTCTATTACAGTACATTAAAAAAAGAATATATGGTAAAAATCTTCCTCCTACTGTTGTCTAATATACTATTAATTTTTATTTATGCCACTGTGTGTTTCCCAGGACACCTGCATCTTCCCAGCTAGGTGCTTCCAATGAGAAGTGCAGATTTCCTATTTGGCCAGAATGGAATGATGCAGATATCAATGCAGAAAAATGGGATCCTGGGAAACCTGGAAAAGAAAAAGCTGGAAAAGGTCAAATTTCGGTAGGTTATGTGACACATACTATTTTCCCTTCATTTTTTGCCCTTGTATTTAGTAGAGTATTTGTCATGACTTCAAAATAATGTGTTACTGATAAATCATATCGTATCTTTTCAATGTGTATAAGTAGTTTCCTGTTAAACTGCAGTAATAGGCTGGAAGTATTGTGCATCGTTTATTTATTACTTTTTAAGTGAATTAATGTACATTAATGTGTACACATTAATGGTTTAAAAAAATGCATCCCCAAAAATCTATTTCATAACATAATTAAAACTGGGGATGTGGGAACAGCTGAACTGTTGTAGTATTTCAGAGCAATCCCTTCTCAGGGCAGTGCAGTTTCTGTGAACTCACAAGGTTTGATGCACCACCCAGCTGTATTATGGAAAAATGGATGTTAAAGTCTTATTGCACACCTCAGTTTCTGGACCTGTGAAATGATGTCTGCAGTTCTAGTGTTCAGAGAATGATTTGAGAGGATATTGTTATTTTGCAGAAAGTAAGAGCCTAGCAGATACAGAAAAGGTCCTCAGTTTTCCAACTTTGGAATGAATTATAAGTCTTATATGGAATTTTTACTCCTTCAAACCAGTTACCATTGCAGAATGTGTCTTTTAGGCAGAGTAGTAGTAAATTTATTTCTGAAAGCATTTCTTAAACTTAGCATTTTAAAGTGGTATTTAAATCTGTTAAGTGCCATGCTTAATCATCTGTTTTATATGCCAGTTCTCCATTGTCCATATGTTTCTTCTGAGTGTATTCTTGTGTACTATGTATATGTTGGCATATGTGTTTGTAGATTTTTTTTTTCTTATCCTAAGCCTTAATATATTTTATTCCTGTGGGGCCAAAGTATTGTTTTGAGAGAAGGTATAAGTTCTCTACTGAATACTGCCATTAACATGTCAAGTAAATAATTTTCCTTTGTATCTTTCTTCTGTTCCATTACCTCATTTGATGTCTTTGGGCTGGACTCTTAACGTTTATCTAGCACTAATTTGTTTGGTCTGCTAGACATTATTATAATAGATAAAGTTTAAAATCTGAAAACCTTTATTTTTTTTTTTTAGCACAAGAGGCATTCTGAGTTGTTTACTGGACTCATGAGTTCTTCAGCTACAAGCTATATGAAACATTGTTCTTTTTACATGTTTAAAGAAACTATAAAATACATCGGCCACAGCAGATGAATTTACAGAACTAAAGAATTTTGCAATGTGACCTCTTTTGATTCAAGCAGGTAGCCAGAATTCAACATCGTGTAGGCTATTTCAGTTAGAAACAGAATTAGTAATAGCATCCAGTATCTTTGAGTATACTTAGAACAGGAATATGAACAGTCCTATTGTCTTGTGTGGGAAAAGGAGTCAATCAGAAGTGATCTCTATCCTTGTAACACTAAAACTGTTTTACCAAGCACCCCTACACAGTAGCCTCTCTTAGGGCAGTGCAGTGGACTTCAGATACTGTGTATTTGACCTCATCTGTTTCTCTTGTGCCTGGTTCTTCCATGTCCTTCCTGTAGAACTTGTGATTGAGACTCCTGTCCTTAGAGCATGAACTCCTGGCAGTTGTCTCTTATAGCCACATTAAATAAAAGATAAGTTAAACTAGATTTTGTCAGCCAGGTTTAGCTGAACCTACAATATTTTTCTTCAAAGTATCTTTGCACTAGTAAGCTAAAGAAAGTTGTATCTTTCTAGGTTTTTTTTAGTATTTCTTTGTGTAGTATCATTCCATCTGCCTTCTTTCTCTGGTTTATCTAATGTTTAAGAGCTAAACTTTCCTGTTATACCATGAAGTCAGGGTTCTATGTCTCTGAAAGCAGAATAAACTCTGTCAATATAATTCTGTGGAGTCCAGGCTACAAAGCTTTCTTTAAGCTTTCATAAAAAAAGAAAAGTAGTCCTAAAGGATTCATTTTTCCTCCCAACTTACCTTTTTTCCTTCAGGCACTTGAAATAGCTTGTTGCAGACCAATATGTTGAAGGAGCTTACGCAATGAAAGAAATAAAAAAAAAATTTGGGGAAAGTATTATTTGGTAGTCTTTGGTTTGTATTTGGTTTTTATGTGTTTGTAATGTATTTTCTTTTGCCTTCCTTGATCAGTAACTACTTAAGTAAAAGGCATTAACTATGTAACCCGTTAGTTTCTCAGTCAATATGACCTGAATCAGAGGCATCTCTTCATCCTACATTGTGCTATTAAGTAAAGAGATACCATATATCATGATGCCTTCTGTGCACACAGAGGATGAGTATCCCTTTAGAAATGCTGGTTTGAAAATTATATGAGGCTCTCTTTAATGGGCTAATTCATAATGCTGTATAATTATAGTTCTTTTTGGTTTCTATAGCAGTGTTAAATGCAGGGAACATGCTTTGTGTCTAAATACCACTTCAGATATTTACTTTCAATATTCAATTAAAAAAGCTATAAAAATACATGAATTAGAAAAGGTACGTAGAAATGACTTGGTAGAAAAGTACCTAACTTAAAAGCTTAAACTTTTTTTTGGAGAGCTTTCTGAAAGGCGGAAAAGAAAAAAATCTTTTCATATAGACCTACTTAGACAGTGCAGACTACTTAAACTTTTCAGGACAATATAAGTGGGTTTTGTGCTGACTCTTTATTTTGGGCTTAGGGTTCTTTTACTTCAGTTATAGATACTCTTGGAAGATACAATACTGTAATTAATAAAAAATGTTCCATTTTTGTGCATGCATATTTTATGTAGCAATTCTTTGATGATCCCGAAGGGAAAGTAGAGTTGCCAGCATCCTTAAAAGTACATTCATGGAAACGTCCACAAGAGTTTTTAACAAAACAGGTAAGAAACAAGCAACATCATGATGAAAAAATGCTGCTCACCTAGCTTGTCAAAAGTAAAGGGAAATTACTAGAGGAAATTAGTTCAACAGGTAAAACCCACCTGACCACACATGGTCATCCTGTCTAGGAGACTGCTGGACAGACTGCTTGTGCGGCGAGGAGTCAGTGACGCGTGTAACAGCTAACCTGTCGTGTACAACTTGGCCTTGAGGCTGGTGTGGTGCTTGCTGGCTGTAAGCCCTGGGCAGTGGAAAAAAGACAGCTCATGGTAATGGAGAAGCCTGCAAGTAGCTCCTGCTTGTTACTGGCAATTATACCACCTGCATCTCCCTTCCTTTATGTAACCACAGCAACACCTTCTTATGTCAACATGCTTTCAATTTTACAGGAGAAATGATGAACAGAGTTGTTTTCTTGTCAGAATATCCTGTCATAGCTCAAATTTTATTATAGCTTGTAATACCCAAGTGAGATACCCTTTCTATGGACTGAATCTGCACGGAGAGCTGCACAGACCTACTTGGGTTTCCCAGTGTCTAGAAGGACATAGTGTTACATATACTAACCTCTTTTGTTATAGTTAGCTCTAATAGTAGCATTTTCAATGATACTGTGAAGAATCTGAGTGCCTTTCTTAATGGGATAAGTTCACCACTAACTTACACCTCCTGGTGCAAAACATCATGGTAGTGTACCCTTCCACATCTGCTTTAGTTTTTGACTCCATGTTCATTTAGAAGACAACTGGCCTTTCTATTTTTCTTTATGTTCTTTAATTCTCACTTAAAAATCAGTTTCATGGCAGAAAAATTTGTTTGTTCCAACTAAGGCTGCCCTGGAGCAGATATCCGGACTAAATATCTAGCATGAAAACATCAACTAACTTTACCAGAACAATAGTATATTTTTTTTCCCTTCAGCTATTGTATTTCTCTGGGTTACCCACAGTACCTGTCCATGACTTTGACAGTAGTTGTCTGGAAGGCAACCATAACATTTTAAAATTATGCATAGCTTTTATTCAATATATTTTTAAAATTATTTGCAAAGAAAATAAGCAGCCTACCTTTAGAGTTCAGTATCCTCTAATGCTGCTATTACGCTTAAGTTTTAAAGTGTTTTGCTTCAGAAGAAACACTGAAGTTTTAAAGCACTTGGACCATCCTTCCAACTTTTTCAGGCTTGTCAGTTTTCCTTTTGTCAGCTTGTCAGTTCCATTTTTTATTAAATAGGCACTAAAGAGGTCCAAGTTTAATTTTTAATGGAGGAAGGAGGAGGGGGAGGTCAGAGACGTAATTGACAAGACCAAAAGATTGGATAGGAAATGCTGCCAAAATGCATAAACTGAGTGGAGGTATCTGAAAGATGAAGGCAAGAGAGCTGGCAGCCCAGAAAGCCATGGAAACATGTATCTATATTAAAAGTAGCTTTTATCTTTAGAGCACTATGAAGAAAGCATTTGTTTTCTTTAAGACCTGATTAAAATTTTAATGCTTCTTTTGGTCCAATACGTGTTTTGAGTCAAGAAGCAATGATTACTAGAAATTTTATATTGTTGTTAAAAATTATTGTGACTGTCAAGTGATGAAAGGCTATTAGGAATGATACATGTTGCTACCTAGTCTATTAGGAACTATAAAAGAAAGCATAAACAAGCCTGTTTAGTGCAGTAAGAAAAGAATCAAGCAATGATCACTAGTATGTGATGAGAGGCACAGATACATTTAGTTCAATAAACTACAATCCCAGTACTTTATTTCTAAACTGCTTACCAAAAGGAAATGTGTTGTATAAACAAGTAATAGTCATCAAAACTATGTAATACAGTCAAAGTCACTGTTTATATACTGACAATACCACTATCTAACTGACCAGGAGAAAACAATTCCATTTGAATCCTGGTGGGTGACTTTGAGACAATGCTCTGCTCATGATTTAAATGCAAAACTTCAAATATACTTAATAAAATGCAGGAATATAAATTTGTTTATGTGATTATTTCGTTTGATGGTCTTTAAATGTCCTGGTAAAAATAATTCTTATTTTTTAAAAATTTGGAACATCTACATTTTAAAAAATTTCTTAGTTTGCAAATCTGTAACAAATGTTTGCCAAATGTCTAACACTTGCAAGGCATTACAGTTAACTGGTAATCTTTAATTTTTTATGTTTTAATTTAATTTTTTCCAGGTAATTTAGCTATGGATTTAACTAATTTACTTTCTCCTAGGTTCCTGTGGTTGTCCAAAATGAAACTTCATTTGACCTTGTTTCAGCAAATGAGCATATATTTTGTAGTGAGGTAGGTAGAAATACTTTAATGTCCTTTAAAAAAAAATTCATTAATTCTTCTTTATCTCTCTTTAACTTTTTGAATTTCACCCCAAATTTCTACCATGAAGAAATAAGTTGCAACAATTTTTTTAAGTGGAAAAAGGAATGATTGGAATAAAATGGCAAGAAATAATCTAGATTTTTATAATTAGTGTTTACCTTTTTGAGAATTTGAAAAATTAAATCGATGATGAATCAAGATTTTCCAAACTTTTTTTTTTTTGTTAAATATATATAATATATGAGCTACTATAATTACTACTGGATAGTATTGCCTAAAGATAAGAACAAATATCGGCTGTATTAGAAAGGATTTGTATCTTTCATTCAAACTTCCCGGAAGTCTTAGTGTGCCTGCATGTATGAGCAAATGTCAGTCACCCAGCCAGTCTCTCCAGAGGTGAATAAATGCATTTCTACAGATCATGGAAAAATATAAAATGGGTAGTGCCATGGCATCTGAGTGCATTACTGAATGTAATATTACTTCAAAATTTCTATTTCGTTCAGTGCTTCAATGAAAATTCAAAATTCAGCACCAGAGATATATGGGAGGAAGCCACCAGAGAACAGGTGGTGTAAATTTTGAGGTCCACAGGAATACTCATTAATTTTAGGGCAAATTTCTTGTTGTAAAATCTTATTTTCATTCTAGTTTATACAAATCACTGTAACAGTTTTGTGAAAGTATTGCATTCATCAGAAATCTGCATGTTATAAAGACACATGCACTAAAGAACGATTAGTTAAATCTTCTTTTTAAGTTTTAAAAATTAATAAATACTTTTCATAATTTAAGGGGTTTTTTAACTGAATATAAATAATGAGTATTAATGCCAATACTGATTTTTAGCAGCTGTCTTCTAATAAGCAGTTAAAAAAGTGACAGTTCACAAGTCCTGTAACATAAAATTGCATTTCTTCGTTTATCTTTGTTATTTGATGAACAGTATAATTTATATTGTACCTTTACTTAGTTTCATGAAGTCTTGTGTTATTGTACATAGATATTGTAATGATTTTCAGAGAAGCTGTACCAGTGAAATTAATTTTTCCATTAAATCACATCTATGCTTTTATGTCACTACTTTATTTACAACAGGATCTGTTTTAATCTTTGATCATAATATAACTTGACTTTTTTTTTTCTCCGGTTTTAGCTGATGAGGTGGATTGTAAGTGAGATTTATGCTGTCTGGAGGATATATAATGAAAAGTCCTTAACTAGTGAAGTACCCACACTTTTTTGGAAACCATGGGAACACATTTATGCTTTATGTAAAGCTACCAAGGAACACATGCCACTGTACAATAAATTTGGAAAATATGTATTGAAACTTTACTGGATGGTGAGTAGTTTCCTCCAACAATATATAAATATGATGCAACTAGCATAGTAAATTTTAATGGTTAGTGTACATATATTTTATAATTGAAAATATATAGATTTGTAGAAGTGCTGACACTTTGTTGATGTTTGTTATTAAAAATACAGTCTTATAGTTCATGTGTTTTTTTGTACAACTTAGAACTTGATAAAACAGTTATTATTGAAAAGACGGTATTATATTTTTGTAGTTTTGTGGGTTTGATGCAAACGTTTAATAGAATCAGATGTGGCCCACACCTTTGTGGTGTTAGGATTAAGAATGCTTTTTGTTGTTTGAGTAACTCAGTTGGCTGACTTTACAGACCTATTTGTATCCAGATATATTTAAAAGTGATTAAAGACTTGCACTGTGATGACCATTTACTGAAGATGTACTGGTAAAACTGAAACATCCCATGAGTTTCTAAAGATAACAGACAAAAACATCTAAGCACATTTTTCTGTCAACAAGGAACGCCTAATTTCATATTGAACCTCATTTTAATAAAGCAATGATCACTGAGACCAAGTTGTCTGTGTTGATAGGGTTATTCTGGTTACATTTGCCTTTTACAAACAGAATATATGACAAAACACTAAAACCTATAACTGACCCTACTAAAATTCCAGTTGCCCAAACTTGAAAATATTTTTTACACTGTCAGTTGGAAACAGAAAGTTGGAAGTGACCTTCCCTGTAAGGGTAAGCACCTGATTTACATACCCGTACTTTCCTCATCCCTTGCTACTGCCTCCACATATGGAATAACTTACATTCACGTAGAGAGTAAGAGTTGCCTGAGTTTGAGAGGGCATAAATTCTGTTGCCCATGTTCCTCAGAAGAGGACATTATCCTTTGTGTGAATTTAATGCTGCAGATGTTGTGTATTCATGTGGTAAAAGACTGCCTTTTAAAGCATGTACAAGAATTACTAGGGTGTTTTATTTTCTTTGTCACTTTTTTGTTTGTTTTGTTTTGGGCCTTTGTGTTTATTCAATTTTTTTCCTCTTTTTGCACAGCTGTATTTCTCAGAAAAAAAAGCAGGAAAAAAACCTAGGGTCAAATATTGGTAGATTAAAGAAAGTGTGCAAGTGAGGAAAGACATATATTAGTAGAGATAGAGGAGAAACAGATTTATAGGAGAAAGTGGCAAATTAAATTAAAAGGGAGAGAAAGGTGGACGAATAATGAACTGGTTTCACTAAAATGCTGTGTTGAGTCCTGAGAGATTGTTGTCCATAAGATCAAATCTGTGGATAATAATTTTTCATATAATTGGCACATATGTGAATTCTACCCCACATTCTACTTTCACTTTGCATTCCTGAGGTTTATTGAATTTATTTCTGTAGTTACACTTTTCCACAGACCTGCCCCATATAATTTATTTTTTTTTTTATTTCTCTGGTGTCTTTTCCTTTACTTATCAACTTGTACTGCAGTCCATATTAAACTTCAGCAGTTACCGAAAGAGGAGATGAATATGTGATCGTTTCACTTACTAGGTCAATTTTCAAACTTGGGAAATCTTAAGTATTTTGTTTTGATTGTCACAAAGAAGTACTTCTCCTAAAAAACATTAACCTCTTCTATGCTTTTTGGTTATCTTTGCCCTATGGCCTAAATTTGTTTTCTTCTGAGACTTACAGAACTCATAATCAGATGTCATTTCACCTTGAATCTGTAGTTGAGTTCCAACCAGAGAGCAGTAATTTTGCCCTCTCTGATAACACCGAGTGAGCAGTTTAGTGATTTGGTCATTCTTCGTAATTTTGTGGGTGAGTTTACAGAACTACTTGCTGTTGCCCCATTAATTCTCCTATTACATCTTCACCGCTAGGACAGAGACTTTTTTTTGGAGACTGGTAGACAAGATTATTTTGTTGAATACTAGCTCAGTTTACTAACAAAATATCTGGTATTGGAGATATCAATACTTCATCTTACCTGTTTGTTTCTTATCCTCAAAGTATAGCTTTATTTTATTTATTTATTTATTTTTTTTACATTTGAACATTTTGTGTTGTTTTATGTGGTGTTTAATAAGATACTATATTAATGCTTTCCAGGACACTAACCACTGCAGCCAGCGTCCCCAAGTAGTTTCTGGAAGGCAAGGGGGACTGCTTGTATCACAAGTATTTTCCAGACTGAGACCTTAAAGAGGCATTTACTAAGCTGGTATCTTAGCTAAGCCTTTTCTCAATAATTACTTTTTCTCAATCATCTGTTATGGCAGATGAAGAAAAAGCAATGAATGCATGAACATAATGGACTACACATATGAGATGAAATATATTTGGAAATAACTGCAATTAGATTAATCTCTGAAATAAATAAATCAGAGCAATAATTAAATGCTATGAATACTGTTTCCATGCTCCTCATATATTATGTGAGAACTCCTTTTAAAACCATCTGTAATGTATAATTGGGTTCTCGAGAAAGTGTTAAAAGTTCTCTTACGTGCATGTTTATTTTCCAACCCTCAAACTCAGTTTTTTCTTCTTCCCCCACCACTCTCCCCCCTCACAGGGGTGCTGGAGAAAGATCATTGTGGATGACACTATGCCTTTCAATGAAGAGGAGAATTTGTTATTACCAGCTACAACCTGTCAAAATGAACTTTGGCCAATGTTGCTGTCCAAAGCTCTCATTAAGGTAGCAAACACTAGGTATGTTTACTCATCTCAATTTCAGTTTGTTTTGTGAAGTCACATGGAATTAGCAAAAAGCTGGTTTAGTTTACATGGGAAATATATTTTGCTAAAATTTTTGTGATGACAATTAGAAACTTCCAAAACCTGACACTGTAAATCAGTAAAGCAAAATCATCTGTAGTTACAGAAGGTACAGTGTTCCCTTTATAGATGTGCTTGTAAATGTATGCATAGAAAACTTGCAAATAAACTGGAGCACTCTCCTTATTTGCATTATCTGTTTGACATTATTCCTAAAGGTTTCACATGTGGTTTTCTGCAAAATGGAAATGTCCATTAAATGTTAAGGAAGTCGTAATTGTCAGCCTTAACCAATATTGACTCAACCAGTATTGAAAATAAATTATTGTAAGCTACTTTTGATACCTTTGCTGCAGTTCTGCTTTTGTGCACTGTACAGTGATCCACTTCCCTAGAACTAACCTGAAAAGGGGAGGATGGCCTATGATGCAGTAATTGACCATTATGGTCACAGGTTTCTGTGAGATGAGCAATGATCACCAAGAGTTTAAATGACTAAGCTTGAGAATATAATTTAAAACACAGATCTGGGTAGTCAGGCTTCCCCATTCTGGTCATATCAAGTTGTATTTGTCAGAAGAGTCATCTAAAGTGTATCTACACAGGCTAGGGAGTTGCTAGGAGCTGCCTGTTGAGATGAAATTCTCCAGGAAATATGATTGTAATACTTCAATTTTCCAGAGCACAAGGGTTAGTCTTACAAGTGCTGGCATCTTCAGCCTTGAACCTCTCAGGAAATCTCTCCTGAGGTTGTAGGAGACTGTATCAGTTTGAAGGTGTGCAGTGTGGTAGAGTGGAAATAGAGCCAACTTGGGCAGAATAGCCTGGTAGTTAGAGAGGCTGATTAGGAATCGGAAGCTGCAGAATCATAACCACCTTCCAGCACAAGGGATTTCTAACCCATGTCTCCAACTCTACAAAAAGAGTCTTTACTGCGTGCAAATATACATAGTATGCTTGCTAACAATTTTGGAAAAATGCCACTGTACCAGAGGGACACTAAAATAATGGACCTGATGCAAAGGCATTGACTTTGTAGGCTAGTAGTCAGCAGTGGTTTGGTAAACTCCTAAAATTGCAAGTAATGACTTGTTTTTCATCAAGCTATTCTGTGCATGGTGTTATTCCTATATGAAGCAATGTAGACTGCAGACTACTGTAGTTGGTTTCATTATAACTCTGTAAAATATCTGCTTTTGTTTTATAGTATACCTGAAACTGGAAAAAGAGAGCTGGAGGAATTTACAGTTTTGCATACACTGACTGGATGGATACCAGAAGTTATTCCTCTTCAGTAAGTTCTTCTATTAAACAATTTACGCGTTAGTTGTTTAATATTTAATTCTATAAGACATTATGAAAAATAAAGCTGAGCCCTAAAAGTCCTTCACCATCCATTTTAGCAAGTGTATTGCTTTTAATTCCAGTGCTTGAGAAATGTGCTTTTGAAAAATGCAGTTTGATTGAGCTTTTTTTTGTAGGTCATACAGTTGCTTGTGAACCTATTTATCATAATAACTGATTTCTATTCTTTATAAAATTATTTTAACTTATAATAAACATTGTGATAAAAACAAGGTTAGAGAAATCTATGTTTCATTAGTATGCAGTTACAAAATGTCTGCCAGTAAGAGTAACTTTATATCTGAATGTACCATAGAAAGTAGGTGTCATGAATCTGGAAGTAATTCATGCCAGCTAGTATAGTGTTTCCACCTTTTAAATTGGAACAATTGGTAGACTTCTATTTTCAACCAAAAATAGTATTTCCTACCTACCATAACATTTTTCTTGTCTCGTGTGTGTTTTATGTTCATTTTATATATTAAAGAGCAGACATTCTGATTTTCCAGCTTGACATTCTTTTTACTAAATGAATGAACAGATTACAGACACTAGATATTTAGACCTTTTTTTTTTAAAAGTACACCTTCTTGCCTTTTGATATATAGATTTGAATGAATACATAGCTGACCAATAGTTTTGGTTTATATATAGTTTTGTTAGATATAATTGTGTTTTTATAACCATATTTCAGAATTAAAGTTCAGTCAAAGAATATGTTATTCCAGTAATTTTTATGTCCCAAGCTATGCTCGCAATTTAGGTTTTTGGTTTATTTGTGTCTTACAGTAGTGTGTATTTAGCCCATGGACTTAAAAATCTAAGTAACCTAAATTTTATTTCTTTAAGTAGTCAGTTTTACAACTGCAACAGCAAAAAACAGTGTTCATTTCCTGCAAATACATTATGTTCTGGAATAAGAAAATGTGAATACCACAGAGTCTTGGCTATAGTAGTATAAGATGACATTAACCCATTGTACAATCAATTATTTTATTTAAAAAAAAAGGTTGCATTCAGTTAGCTTATATGAAACCTTTTCATTACCCTATTTGAGGTTATTTTTGGAATCACTGAATTTCTGTGAAGAACCAATATGACTGCAACTGTCATGTCATATCAAAAAGCTGTTGTATTTGGTAGAATTGGTGGAAGAGGCATGGCACTATCTGTGATGAACTGTTAGGAAAGCCCAGTTTGGAAGTGCCTTCGAGAAGCTTTTTAATATACTGAGATGGAATCAAGTTATTTTACAACGTAGTTGTAAAGTGGTCTGCAGGTTTCTCTACCACAACTTTTATCCACTAAGAAGCTTGAGAAAGGATGCTTTATTTACATATGTTTCTAACCACCATCTCTTTCTTTATGGGTCTGTCCATAACCTGTCTCAGCAAATTGGTTGATACAGAGAATCATGCAAGTGTGTTCTATCTGCTAGTAGCTTTTTGAAGAGTTGAACTGTCAGTTGTGGTACCATGCCTGTCTAAATGAAAATCACATTTTCTTTTCTTATTGCAAATGTCATTATCATTGACATATGTTTTCTTTTGAAGGTCTGAATACTTGGGCAAAGTTTGGGACTTCTTGAAAGAGATTGTACCAGAATTCAAGTTGCCTGATGAGAAGACTCCAGAAAGTGATACTACTCAGCCAGATACAAAACCTGAAGAGCCCAAAGACTCAGAGTTGAAAAATGAAGTTTCATCTGTAAAAAAGCAGTCAGTATCATCTGACAAAGTAGAGGCAACTGATAACATTGGCAAAGGTCTGTAATTTTAGGTAATGTTACCTTTTAGACAATGTATAAATAAGGTTAGCATAGTCTCTGGCTTTGAATTTGTGTGTCTTGGATATGTTGCCATATGCAACTCTGTGAGTTAATTGTTTTCATTTAACATGTTGCAATGATGTAAATTCAAATTACTTTTGTTTTAGCTATAGATCTCATTAGAAGAAGCACTAATCTTTTATTTTATGAAAATAGCTTCACTTTATGGCAGAGATTTTTTCAGCCATTTATTTCTCTAAAGACTGCTTCCTTGTGGAGAGATAACAGTTAGAGAAGTTACAGTTTCTCCAAAGGCAACACTGCTCTGATCATCAGTAAATTATACATTTCATAATGGATGTTGCAAAGTGTGATTACCTACAGAGACAAGTATATTCTAATGCCTGCCTGCATATTTATTTATAGCAACTTTTCTGTTTATACTGCTAGGTATAGGTAATAATACGCAAGAGCTGCTAATCCTATTTACATTTAAATGAAAAAACTTAAGATTTAGAAACTTAATTGTTCCATAATATTATTCTTCAATGTTTATATTTGAGACTGAATTTTCCTAGTTACTGTTTTTAACTTGAAGGCATAGGTGCATTTTCTCAACAATTCTCATGCTTTTGTAAGGTACAAATCATACACTAAAATTTTATTTCTTCCTAAATTTTTAGAAAAATTCCTGAATTCCTCACTTCGAATCCCAAACGCTATGTCCTAATGTCAAAAGTGATATAAAAAGTGTTATAAAAATGTTCAAGTTTTCCTGGCTGTGGTTGTATTCTGTCTTTTTAAGATATCACTTTGACCCACCATCAATGTGGTAGATATTTCAGAGTTTGGAATGGACATTCAGCCATTGGAAACAGCACTGTTGTTCATCCAACAGGATGATGTGATTTTTTTTCCAGATAACTTTGTAAATTTAATCCTGCCTAAAATTCTTAGACTTAAAAATTCTATTAGTAACTGAAGTGGCTAAGAATCAGGGAACCATTATGTTATAATATGACTCTGAAATCTCCAACTCTGAGGCTAAAATCTTCGTTCAGATGCTCTATTAATGTTTGGATTGTTTGGATGAGATAAAGCCATCCATATCACCATGAGAGATAAGGACCTGTGGGTTCTGGTGGACCACAAGCTGTCCCTGAGCCAACAGTGTGCCCTGGGGGCCAAGAAGGCCAACGGAATCCTGGGATGGATTAGGAAAAGCATTGCTGGCAGGTCAAGGGAGGCGATCCTGCCCCTATACTCAGTCGTAGTGAGGCATATCTGGAGTACTGTGTCCAGTTTTGGGCTCCTCAGTACAGAGAGACATGGAGCTGCTGGAACAGGTCCAGCAGAGGGTAACAAGTATGTTTAGGGGACTGGAGCATCCCTGTTATGAGGAAGAGGCTGAGGGATCTGGGCCTATTCAGCATCAAGAAGGGACAACTGAGAGGGGGCCTGATCAATGTGTATACAAGTATCTAAAGGCAGAGTGCCAAGAGGATGGAGCCAGGCTCCTCTTGGTGGTGCCAAGCAATAGGGCAACAGACAGAAATTGATGCACAAGAAGTTCCACCTGAACATAAGGAAGAACTTCTTTCTTGTGCAAGTGATTGCACTTTGGAACAGGTTGTCCCCTCACTGGGAATAGCTTTAAACTGGGGATATTCAAGAACCATCTGGATGCAATCCTGTGCAATATGCTCTGAGATGAACCTGTTTGAACAGGGAGGTTGGACCAGATGACCCACTGTGGTCCCTTCCAACCTGAACCATTCTGTGAGGCTGCGTTGACACAGTGGAAAGGATACCATCCAGAGGGACTGGACAGACTTGAGAATTGGGCCCATGGGAACCTAATGAGGTTCAAAAAGTCCCAAGTGCAAGGGGCCATGCCTGGATTGGGACAATCCCAGGCATGAGTACAGAGTGGTAGAAGAACTGAGAGCAGTCTTGTGGAGATGACTTTGGGAATCTGGTTGATGAGAGGCTGGACATGAGCCAACAGTGCTGGCATCCCAGAAAGCCATTCACATCCTGGACTGAGTCGAAAGCAGTGTAACCAGCAGGTCAAGAAAGGAGATTCTCAACCTCTATTCTGCCCTTGTGAGACCCCACCTAGAGTACTTCATCCAGTTCTGAGATTCCCAACACAAGAAAGATGTGGACCTGTTGGAATGAGTCCAGAGGAGGGCCACTAAAGGTGATCAGAGGGCTGGAGAACCTTTCCTATGAAGGCAGGCTGAGAGAGTGGGGGTTGTTCAGCCTGGAGAAGAGAAGGCTCCAGGGAAACCTTACAGCAGCCTTCCAGTACCTGACAGGGGCTTGCAAGGCAGCTGGAGAGGAACTTTTTACAAGGGCATTAGTGATAGGACAAGCAGAAATGGCTTTAGAAGGAAAGAGGACAGGTTTAGATTGAATACTGGAAAGAAGTTTTTTACTGTGAGGCTGGTGAGGCACTGGAACAGGTTGGCCAGAGAAGTTGTGGATGCCCCATTCCTGGAAGTGTTCCAGACCAGGTTGGGTGGGACTTTGAGCAACCTGATCTAGTGGAAGGTGTCCCTGCCCATAGATCATCTTGGAACTAGATAATCTTTAAGTTCCCTTCAAACCCAGATAATTCTAAAATGCTATGATTTACTTTTTTTCATTAGAAAGTATTTTCCTATAGTCTAAATGTTGAGACTTTAAAGAAAAAAACTGTGGAAGACTTTCTTCATCTATATGCATTGGGGAATGTCTGCCTCATCTATGCTGGGTTTTTTTGGAAATTTCTGAGATGTGAGAGCAAGAACATGAAGAAAATATGTGGCACAGTGCCAGAAATTTGGAATTTCTAACATTGTAGTAAGGACATAAAAGTTGTGCGCTAACTGAAGCGTGGGAACAAAGCCTTCCTGACTCCTTCTCAGTTGATCTGGATTTTACAGCTTATTTTTATTACATCTTATTATTTATTTTTTAAAATTAAATTACATTAGTTCTTTATAGTATCTCAACTATAAAGGCTTGGAAGAGTTTGTTGTTGATTGTTTTTAAAATTTATCTAAAATATTACCAAAGCATTTACACATATGAGACTTTATGACTGAAAGTTATAACTGAAAAAGAAAAATATTTAATCTTTATTTTGCTTAATAGAAAAAGCAGAGCAGAAAAAAGTAGGAAAGAAAAAAAACAGAGGAGAAAAAGAAAAAAGCAAGGTAGCTCGTCAGTCTTCACAAATTACAAGAGCCCAAAGCCTTGAGACTTTAACTGAAAGTAAGTCATATTGTTTTGAAGATAAAAATACAGATAGGAGATATATGTAAAGCAAAGGCGTTGCTTTAATTTGGTTTTAAACTTTACTGAGGGGAGGTTATATGCAGGGGGGAGGTTATATGTACTTTTTTTTTTTAATTGTAATTCTTTATAGCTCACATTACAGACTGAAGTTATTTGAACCTATTGAAATCTATAACATATTTAGAATAGTATTGATAGTATTAGAGCATGGTGCTAATAATGCCAAGGTTATGGGTACGATCACCATAGAGGTCATTCACTTAAAAGTTGGACTCAGTGATCCTTGTGGATCATATTCTGTGACTCTGTGACTGCAGTACTTTGTTCTAGTGGTAAACTGTCTTATAGTTTTTCTGTATTTTTAAAAAAGCTTCCTCTTTAATAATCTATTTGTTCGATATCCACTTTATACAGTGAATTACAATTGGAAAAAGCAGTTCTTTGTTGAAGGGTAGGGGGGCAGAACTTTCATTAGGATTCATTCCATGTGATAAATGTTTAATTTTTTTTTCATTTATCCACAAAATATATCTTTATTAATTAAGTTATTGTATTGATATATTCACAATAGCATAAAAATTAAGTAAATTCTTGGTTTGTGCATTTATATTTATTATTTTTTAAAAATCTGAAAAAAATTAAAAACCACATATTTAAATAGTAATTGGCCAGCTAATCAGTCAATAAAGACATGTGTTTACTCATATAAAATACAGAATATCTTCACAAATGTACATTAAGCTGATTTGCTTTTGGCATTGCTTGTATTTGCATACATGTGACAGCAAAAAACATTTATTAACTGGAATAATTTGTAGTTGCAAATCAGTAGGTTAGAATCGATTTTCTTTGGGGAAATAACTACAAAGCAAAAATGTATAACAAGAATGAAACTTACTGCAAGTTGGATTCCTGCTTCTTGTTTTGAATCCTGATTAAAATTGGCAATTTAAATAATTTTAAATTATAGCAAACCAGTATTGTTATTTCTCATCAGCAAATACATTTACTTGAATTCCTACCTTATATACCACTAAATTAGTTAAACAACAGTAAGTTTTAAAATGTATTTGCAGGAAAATAGTTTGGTTTAGTGGTAGTAGGAGTGGAACAGGAAATGTGTTTCACATGAGTGTAAGGAACATGACTAACTAGTAATCAAGCATGTCATGTGGAAAAGAAAACAAAGGTGAAGCAGAATGATCCAAGTGATATATTCTAGAAATTGTGAAAGAGCATTAAAAACCATTGGGCAGAGTTTCCATATGAAAAATGACATGCTATTTAGATTTTTTAAAATTTGTTTATTTATTTTTTTATTTGTTCTGCCACTTAAAGTACAGTTTATGTTCTTTTCTGAAAGACAGTTAGTGTCCTGTGAAGAGGTTATTTGCAAAGATTAGTAATTCAGGGCTGAAGTATGATGGTCAGAGAATTCTTTTATTTTAAGTTTGAACCAGAAAAGACTTTTGGAAAAGAGTAAGAGGTAAGTATCTCCCTAATAAAGCAAATTGAAGATTATTAGACTGCAAGAAAAGAAAAAAAACAAACTGCAATTTGAAATACTACTGAATTACAATGCATTTTTGTTGTGAGATTGTCTACCGAAAGAGAAAAATCTTTCAGGCTTTATGAGACACATGGTCTGCAGAGTGGCCCAGGACAGTAGAACCATTGTTGTGCATAAAATAACATCTGAAACTAGGTCTTGG